TAAGGATTTCAGCTTATGCATTAGTAGTAAATGGTCGACATGCTCAAATGCCTTTGAGATGTAAAATTAGATGACAAGTACTAGTTGTCGTCTGTCACGACTGCTGGTCACAAAGTTAAAGAAGTCTAAGTGGCATGTAAAAATGATCTCGATTTTTGGAATCCATGTTGGTCCGGACTTATAATGTTGCAGCTAAGCATATGCCTGATTAGGTTATCTTTAACTAGTCTCTCCATAATTCTAGATGCTATAGGTGTGATATTGATCGGCCTGTAGGTACTGACTTCTGTTTTCGAGCCAGATTTGTGTTTAGGCATAATAAACGTTGTTTTCCACATATCATGGTAAGTTTGGGTTTCTAGGGACATTGTGAATATTTTAAGCAGTAGTAAGGGAATTTCACGGCCACCACATTTATAAAAATAGGATGATATGCCGTCAGTATCGAAACCTTTTGAGCATTTTAGGGTTCTTATAGTTTGATTATTGTTAGTACAAGTAAATTCAACAGTACTAATTAAGTTTGGTGTGTGTGGAGATGGACTTTGTGCCACATTGGTAGCAGGATGTATATTGAGTAACTTGACTGTGGACTTAAGGTAGTTACCTGCAAAAGTTGAGTTAAATAATTCACACATGTCTGCGGAATTAGTACATAGCCTACCTTTGTCTTTGGGGAGGGAAATACTGTGATTTTTGCGATTCATTCGCTTCTTTAAGATTTCTGTGATGGCTTAAGTGGATGTGAGACGGAATGTAGATCCAGCGTTCTTAAGCTGTCAACCCACCTTTTCCACTCTTCCCTGTGTGTCTCACTTTATAGGTCATCCCATTGTAACCCTTTCCTGCATTGCAGTTGAAATAATCTGCTCGCCGGAAGTAGATAAGTTGCCACTAATCCAAGTGGGTCAAACAGGGACGACAACACAGGGAGCACACCTCTTCGAGTAACTGGCTTATCAATATCACCAACACTAAACCCAAAGGTATCAGAGTTCACATCCCATCGCATACCTAATGTGCGTTCAACTGGTGGAGTGTCAACAGGTAAATCTCGTACAGTAGGTGCTCTGTCTTCTAGAACTATATGCTTCAAAACGTCTAGGCTGTTCGAGATCCACTTAGTTAAACGAAAACTAGCCTTAGCTAACACTTAAGTAATACTTGTTACAGATTTAACTGCGGACTCGTCATCATCGAAAGAGGCCAACCAATCATCCACATAGAAGCAACAATCGATGACATCCAGCAGATAATCAGAACCAAACGTGGATACAGCCTTACGTAGAGCGAAATTAGCACAGAACGGATAGGACGTGGCACCAAATGGATGGACTGTCATCCTATATTCTGACACCTTACCACAAGGACCATCATCAAACCACAAGAAACTTAAGTGATCTTTGTCGCTCTCTGGTACTTCCACTTGCAGGAACATTTCCTCTATATCCGCAACGACAGTAACTGCAAACTTTCTGAATCTTAACAGCAGTCCAACTAATGAGCTCACGCAATCTGTACCACTATATAGATTATCATTCAAAGAAACTCCTTCGCAGAACAATCGAACACCACACGGAGTTTACCTGGCTTCCTCGGATTAAAGACGGGATGACGAGGCAAATATCACTTTCCTGGCTAGCTCTGATCAACTAGTCTTTCAACGTAACCTTTCATTACATGTTTGTCGACGACATCCTTATATTTGGTCCAGATACCTGCATCCATTATAAACTTTTTCTTTAAACCCATTAGTCTTTTAAGAGCAACTTCTCTGTTACAAACCAACTGTCTATCTTTAAATCTCCATGGTAGGCCAACGCTGAAACGCCCATTTTCGTATTTACAAGACTCCTCAACTATTTTAACTGCCTTTAAGTCTTCCACAGAACGACCCTTCTCTGGGACACTGCAGTCACAAAACTCCTTGTCATACATATTTCTAATCATAGTCTCCAGTTTGTCCTCATTGTTTGTAACCAATGATGATATGTGGACCATGAGTAAAGGTCCTCTCACTGTCCATCCTACTGGTGTTTTCGTCGCAAACAGATCATCTCTACCTCCGTATTTCTCTTCTAATACCTTGTGAGCTTCTGGTACACTACATCCAATGAGTATTCTCACTCTACTATCGTGCAGTGTTGGAAATGGTATGTCACACAGGTGTGGCTTACCGACAACTGTTTCACGACTAGGTACTATAGCTTCGCCTAGTGTGTGGGCAGTACCCACTTCAACGGTTTCTCCAGTAGTCAAGGATTCTAACTGAAATGAAGCTCGTTCACATATTAACGTTTTCGAAGAATTGAAAGTGTTTAGGACCGAGAATTGTTTTGGGCTCTTAACCCAAGCAGCCAGCCAGCTTAGCATCTATCAATGTAATGTCTGAACCATTATCTAGCAACGCGTATGTATCGGCACATGACCATGGTCCTCTTACTGATACTGGCACAACACCTAAATAAACCTTCTGGAAGTCGTGTGGTGCAAAACTGCTATTACAATTAATAGAACTCCCCTGATTCTTCGATACTGTCAACAGCGGATGTAATCCCAATGAACCACTACCACCATTCTCAGCTGTCTCACGGTTAAGCTTTGTGTGCCTGTCCTTTAAACAGCAGAAGCATAACCGTTTCCTTCTCACAATTTGTAACCCTTCTGTTGGAGACATCTGAAGGAAACGAGCACACTCACTAAGTATGTAAGCGTCGCCACAGGTAATACACTTTCCTGAACGTCCAATGCCTTGAGAACCTCTCGTCACAATTGACTTTCTCTTACTCACTGGTCTCTCAGTTTCAGAAGCTGGATGCAATATACTGGTGAATTTACTCATAGTCTGATTAACACTATCTGTCATTAATCTCAGTATATTGTCGAACCATGACTCTAAACCTTCCTCTTCTAAGCGGGAGCTGATTTTTATGAACTTTCTTTGCAAGTGAACGTGTAATCTCTTAGCTATTGCCTCAAACACAAAACTTTAGTTAAATTCATTCACACAATTAAGAGAAACGAGAGTATTTCTATACACCATTAAATTATCCAAAAACCCTGCGAGTTCCTCTGAGCTATCGTTTAACTGCGCACCACTACCCTCTACTGTCTCAAAAACACTCTTGCATATCATAAATGGCCTCGCAAAACTTTGACGCAATATTCTCATGGCCCCAGTTTATCCTTTGTTTGGGGTATAAACTTGCAGCACTGTATAGCCCTTGCAGCAACACCAGTGAAATGCCTCAATAAATACATCAGCTTTATTTCGTCATTTATTACAAAGCCACTCAACACTACTTCAAACTCCTTCACAAACTGTGGATAGTCAGCTGGGTTTCCGTCAAAATACCGAGGCTCAAATTTGGGAATTTTAAAACCCCTACTATCACTAGACGGCGAAACATGAGCATCAATCTTATCATGCTGAGCATCATACATATCATTACAAATCACAGGCAACTCATCATTACTTACTTTTCTGTCTGCTTCCAAAACGCTTCGTCCTTCTTTTGGCCCAAGCATTATTGAAAGTTACCAAACGATCCAGAAAAGTTCCAAATAACACTTGTCCAAAGAAAAATTGCAGACACAGGGAAAGACGAATTGCCAACAAATAAGGCGAATAATTCCAGGAGACATCAGAAACTGTCAATGTCCAGGTCTAACTACACTGGACTTAACGCTGTCCTTAGAAGACTTTCAGCAACAATGTGCAATAACCAACGCGAAAAAACAGAACACAGATTGGTGACTCCAAAATCCTTTATTCTTGCACCAATATGGAACCAACAATAAGGTTACTATACACAAAGTCTAAGAATAAATGTCATAACAATTAACCACAATAGTACTTCTGATAGTATTCCTCCGTCTTCTAACGAACAGCGGACGATGAAACGACGACTGCAGTATCGGTGACTCCCGCCAAAATATGGAGTTGGTTTTGAGTAAACGACCATGAATCGATCGTTCATTCTTCATCTACATTAACAGGAATCTTATAGGGAATCGTTGATAAAATTAACGTCTGTCGGTGTCACTGCAGCCTCCGCTAGCGCTTCATTTTACGGCCATGGGTAAACATGTAGTACCCTCATATTAAGCCTAACTGCTCGCTTATAAAACTAATTCACGTACACATGTTATATGTTTGCAGAAAAAGTTTTTACATATGCTTGTGGAATATTGTCATTGTACAACTGAACATTGCCTGTCTTTGTTACATATGTATTTTTTCGTTCGTTTTCGCGTTTTTGGAAGTTCGATTTCGTTGGCAATATATCTTTCAAAGATTTTACTTGTGCTTCTTAGTACAATGTTGTTCATCATTGACCATGTACAACGTTAGCACATCGTAGAACGTGAAAACTTGGACGTACTATAATATTATGGCCGGAATTATCTTCAGTACACCATAAACGTACTTCAAAATGGACCAATTTTAAATAATCATCCAGTTATATTTCTCTCTTTAAATATTCCTATTTATAATATTAGAACAAGACATATAAGCGAACAATATTGTTTTCAATTAGATCTTCAGGCTTTACTCTAATTTACTCTAATTAGAGTAAATTAGAGTAAAGCCTGAAGAGTCTTTCTTATCTCATCTTTCTGCTTCACTGATTTAATTACTTTCATATAACTTATCTGTCTGTTTGTTCGGGTATTTTCCCAGTTTACATTGCTGTACTATTACTACCATTACCTCCTCTTTGAACACACTGACCGATAACCTGATGAAAGGACGATTTCGGGTAACACCAGTGTCAAGGTTCTCACAAACAAAATATAACAAACCCAATGTAATTAACTTCTTCACTGCACTCCTCGATGTCTGTCAAAGCTACGGTGGGTTTTTCAGGAACGAAAGACAAAAGGGCCAATTAAAGATCGGGAGCCGTTACCAAGAAATAAGCCAGAAAATACCAGTTTAACTTTGAAATGATATTGAATATTGAATATAGATCACTTAAGGCAGTGGTTGCTAATGCATTATTTGGCGCAAGATTGTAGGGCACGTTACGTTTGGTTTTGAAGATTGATTGGTTGTGAATTCACAAATCCGAATGGGCTTCTCAGACATAGTATATGCTTCAAAGGGTTTGGTTGTCCTATCTCCCAACGGCGTGTACATATCGTCTGCTTCCCAACACAAAGTTGTTATACGGACAGTTAACCCATTTCAAACTTTTAAAATATACAGTTGCGTGGATATAGTCACTGGCTTGGTGTGGTCTGCAGACTCCTTGTTTATTCTTAGTATTTTGAAAGGTCGTAATATAGTTCAGGTACCTTATTGTGATCTGTCATCTATGATTGCAGATATTCTGCCTTGAAAACCCAGAGTGGACTTGTAAGGTTGATGAAGGTTCTGCTGGCCTTCTTAGCGCTGTATGGGCTCCAGATAGCAGACACTTCTTAACGACAACCGATTTTCATCTGCGGATAACCATTTGGTCAGTATCGGAAGTTTCAGTTTCATATCTAGAATTGCCGAAAGTGAGTCTACAATTTATTTTTAAGATTGATGTTTATTCTAGCATCACGTAATTTCTCTTCTTCGAATGGTGCTAGTTAGTCGAGTCAAATAGTGATCGTAGTCACTTATGTAGATGTATAGAGGTTTATATTGAAACATCAAATACTAAAGGGTATCCACTGTTTAATTCCTTGGTTAGACATATCCATTTGAGTAGAGATCTTTTAAGACAAAAAATTATGAAGTGTTGACACCTCCAGAATTTTTTATGTATTAAACCTGCCAGTTGTAAAAATAACGTGCCTGGATGTAATTAATGAATTCCTCTTACAAATTTAGGCCTAATTTGTACCATTGTGAAAAGAATTTAAATAATTAAGTGCAACTTGCAAGCTTAATGTTAATCTTTGTGCTTGGTTAAGAGCCACACAATGTATGCGCTTTTGTGGAATATGTCAAATTGAACAGCTGCATTCTTGTGCAAAGTTCTACCTTGAAACGTCGATTACTCATCATACTTAATTTGAATTAGGATGGGTTTAAACTCGCGACTCATCGGTCGAACTCATACGTTATGAAAAACGTCCCCAAATGGTTTACAATGTTGGGTTTGATGAAGTAGTTACTAACTTGGGAAGTAGCCCTCAACTCTCACTTCTCTAAACACATAGTGTTTTACGGCATTTGAAAAAACTTCATTGGAATGGCAATAAAGGTATTTTTAACACGTTGTGTGAAATATCTTTGTCCTTTCAGTTCAGAATTAAATGAACCTTAGCTTATTTGTCCATTGCATTTAAACATATCATATGATCCTTTTTACAAAAGTTATTTCAAGCGTCATTTTTGTGGATACTCTGTTGTTGAGTGAAGGTCATTGGATTCTGGTCTCGTCTTATGCATTCACTATTCAAAACCCATTGCAGGGTTCTACTTTTCCCAAACTTTTTAGTTCTTTTGTAAACAATTCTGTAAAGTTTATTTTTGGGCAGCAGTAATTTTTGGTTCATCCCACTCTATATCATTAAAGAAATTTTTGGTTGACTAGCTTAACAGGATGATGCACTCTCAGTATTCATACGTTTGAATACCTTTTCATGTTGCTTCAGGGTTTTAACACTCAGAATAGAGTCTAATTTTTCACGTGAAGAATGCAAACTAGGTCGAGAAACAGCTGCTATATGAGGTCCATCACAATTAATTCTCTCTGTGTTCGATATCATATCCTCAAGTATTATTGAGAAACAAGTTTCCTTCAGGAGCTTAGAAAAGGCCACTTACCCTCGCAGCCACTTTCTTGTGTTTTACTGCTAACCAATAAAATCGGTAACCTGTCTCATCCCTCTCTATCAGTGAATACATTGTTTACACTGAGTTTACTTATTATGTGCAATTTACTTAGGCATGTGCAAATAATTTGGCCTTTTGCCCTGGTGGCCGCTACATGGCTTTGCTCGAACGTCGAGATCTACGAGACCATTTGAGTCTGTTTGACTGTCGATTTCAATGGACCTTAGATTGGAACATAATTCTGGATACTAATGATGCTGAGAATATTGTATGGTCTCCACATGGACTTTATATTCTTGTATGTGATAACTGCCTTTACTACAAAGCAGCTATATACAACATCCTTGGAGAACATCTTCGTACATATTGTGCCTATAAACCAGGTGAAGCACCTCTTGGCATAAAATCAGTGTCATGGCATCCTACTGGGCAGTTGCTGGCATTAGGAAGGTAAATTTCTCTTCTTACCTTTTTTATTCATTTTAATCATTCACTGTTTTTAAATCCCATAGGTACCTATTGTTTTCTATACAAAACGTGGCCTTTCAGCTCGTTCAGTATCCTTTTCAGTTCAAATATACATGACAGTTATTCATCTTTTCTTCTTTCTATACATTATGATACATTTTATCATAAAGTATTCAGGCTTTTTAAAGACACCTACCCAGGACCACTCATCTGTCACTTTCAGCTCTCAAGTCCTGTTCTACCTTTTCGTTCACCTGCAGACTATGTTACTAAGATGGAATTCTCTTTTACGAACAAACTTCCGTTCATTCAAGTTTTATTGGACAAAACAATATATTATGCAGTAGTAAATACTTAGTGCCACTTAGTGTCACTTATGAATCATCCTGAAAGTCTTGATGTTATAACTACTTTATTACTTCGTTATTTAAAACACAAACTCCGCACGGCAAGGGTGCTAAAAACCTTTACAAGTGATTTAATGGAAAATCATATATATATATATTATATAATATATATATATATAAACAGGTCTTGTATATATATATATATATAAGACCTGTTTAGTTATACTGGTTGCAAAGTTGTTAGAAAGTTTGAGTTGTACTAGAATAATGGTATTGGCAAACCATAGACTAGGGTAGTATCACTGGTTTGCTCACAAAGTCCAAACAGAAAGGAACAATTAAGCAGTTGAACGTATTTAAAAGTTTTCTTCAATTTAATCCACTTTCTTTGTTTGCTGAAGCATTCGTCTGCGTGTTTTTTTGAACGAAAACATGTGGCGCATGAGTATATCTAAAATAACCGTCTCTCTGTCATTAGTTATTTTTTGTTGCAGCTGGGGTTTGTCGGTGCCGGTGTACTCACTCGTAATATCTTCATAATGGAAGGATAAGAATTACATCAATCTCATACTATTTCCAATCTCCTTCTTTGATTTTAGAAAACTTAGTCATAGATAAAGTAGGTGACATACCAGCTTGTAAAGTTTTTTGGTGCAGAATTTTAGGATCTAATCTTCAGAAAGCTGTGGATCTGCTTCTCGTGTTTGTTCTCACTTATCAGCATTCTGTACCCGCAACCTTAAGTGAAATTATATTTTCTCTAAGGTTAAGGCCTACGTCATTGAGTCCTGTAATAAGCTGCTTCACCTCTGCGACATTCAGGTCACAACACTATTTATATTAAATTTGTCACATCACATTACACACTTAGGGAAAACTCACTAGAAGAAAGGAAAAAGATATAGAAATGTTGACATCAAGACATTTCCAAGATGCTTTCACCACACACATGGGAGTGCACCTTTTTATATATATCTCATCGATAGATATGGTTTGATCATTCGCTTACTATACATGAATAAAAAAGTTCATCGAAGACTGGATTTAAAGTTTAACAGTGCTTATCTTATAGTCATATGCTCAACTGCTCTTTCACTATGCGATTGAATAGTTAACTTGTTTTGAAAACTCGTGTGCTATACTCCTACCAACATGTGACCACAAACACTGTTGAATTAACTGGTGCTATGTTATTCAGATGTCATGAATAGTAGTCAATAAATGACTTGAGTACTCACTTGATTTACTAATGAGTTAAGTCGGTTGTATATGTCCAGTGTTTTGTATATTCAGTTACTTTCATCAGGTAAATAATCATCAGGATAGTACAGACTTTATCGGTGTTCATCATTTCACTTCTTATGTAATTTGAGATGCTTGTCCTTAGTCTACGATATGATAGGTAAATAATACACCAAATGAACAAACCATCATGAATTTACACTTTATCACGTTGCCCAAGTTTTTCATTAGTATTAAAAAGTCAATAAATGGTATAGAGTATTTCATCGCCATTGTTTAATTAGCGTCACTGAACTTTGGGTAAAATATTGGATGGGTTATTCGATACTCTGTTGTAAATCTCTTGGTGACTGAATTAGGGATTTTAGTGCTCTATGAATTAGATAGCTAACTTATGCCTTGCATACCTAATTTAGCCTTTTGTATCGTAGACTAATACTGTTTGAGGTAAAAACAATTTGAGGTAGGTTTAGAATGACAACGAATATAAGGTCGGTTATTCATAGCTAGCTGTGTAACATAATGGGAAAAGCTGGAAATTGAATTATTGAAGGTTTATTCAGATCCATATATATGTATAAATAGAAGTCTTTGATACTGATTTATACCCTTATATAATTTGATCGTTTGTCATTTCCTTATATCAAGGAAGAATAGAATGACATACAGTTATGTCAAATTCTTAATTGAAAAATAGATGTGACTACAGTATTTCTGTAGAAACTATTATTAGTTATAATTAAGCTTACTCCTTTGTTACATGTCCCTGTTTTTCTCTTAGTTTTCTTTCATTACAAATTAACGAGAAACTACAGTAGAATATGGTGAATAATTTCGCTTAAGAGGCTGCAGCAAGATAATGGTAGAAGTCGACCTAAACCTCTTATTTTTATTTTGTTTGTAACCTTACCAGCGGGTGTACAACATATACTCTTCTTTTATTTCCTTTCAAGTTACGATCAGAAATGTCGCCTACTAAACGATGTTAATTGGAATTGTTTCGCTTGTTTAAAGCATCCTGTTGGTAAACCAATTGATCCTTCCGTAGGACTTGGTCCAAGTGGTCGTCCTATACAGGTTGGTGAGAATTCAACACCATTTTCATCACACCGTATTGATATCTATGAAGAATGTCGTTCAAAAGATTCTACAGACACACTCATGAATTCTGAAATTATTTCAGAATCATTTACTGTTCAATATAAACTAATAAATAATTCAGTTACTATCAAGTCAAAAAAGCCTGACCGTACGCAACCATTTCCTGAAGTAAGTGATGATTGAGTCAGGCTGTTTCAGATTTTGAAATTATCAGCGTAATGTTTTGAATGGTTTATTTGTTTACACATGTTACACTTGAGGATAACATTTGTAGTTCACTGCTATATCAGGAGCTATTCGTGTTTTCATAAACTTTTAACCAGTAAACCAGCTATTCTTCCTCTTAGTTACTCAAACCCAACCTGTGTATACAAAAAGAAACGGTGATTAATCTCAGTTTACCCTGGTAACAGTTATCCCACTTATTACATTACTACCAGAGACGTATTAAGACTTCTTGTAAGACTTTTCAAAGTGTCTTAGTTGATCATTCAATATAGATTTTCCGCAAACTGACCTCATCAAATACCCAGCATTCTTTTTTATCATTACCAGATTCAGAAGAGAAATTGTCTATTTTTCCTCTGAAAAATAAATTTGATGACTTGAGTAATAACTTTTAGTGATTTGCAGAATATGTTTTAGTTCACATCTATTATCACATACATAATGCATGGAAACTGTATATTGCGAAGATAAAAACTGTACTTCTTTGTTCTAAATTCAGCTGTTTCCCGAATATGTCATAAGACAGTTGCCATCTCATGGGCCTAAAGATGATTCCGTGATCATATCATCATGCTGTTTGTATACCAGGTCATTCAATAATCACTAAACACTGAAATTACTCCTAAACAGTAGTTCTTTCAGTCATGAATTCGATATTCCATCATTGAGGTTGTTATTTTCTATATATTTGCAAACCTAGTGGTTTGTTCAAGCGTAACATTTATGAAAAGTAATTCAACACCAAGAGCGTGTAAAGAGAATGTCTAAATATTGTCTCCATGACATTTTGTAGTCCTCCAACTGCGTTAAAGGAATTAATGTCTGCAACAAATGCGTACTCTTTCTTGACGCCAAGTTACCTTACTAGTTTTGCTAGTAGTTGTATTTTGCTGTTACCTGTATTAATGTTAGATTATATATATATATATATATATATATATATATAACTTTGATTCTACAAGTTATACTGATTTATAAATAAAAGACAGTAATTAATACAATACAAACGGTCACTAAGGTATTTTGATATTTTCATATTAAGACTTCTGCCTGTTATTTATTCTATTCTAATGACGATTTGGTTTGGTTTATATTTGCTGATAGAATTAACAACCAGTTAACTTGAGAATTTTTATAAAATCTGATAGAAGTGAAAAATCATGGTGAAATCAGGTTCGATTTGTTGTGGCATTAAAAGTGAATAAAAGATTTGAAAAGTTACATAGTGAAGATGAGTAGCATTTATTGTCAAATTTTGATTCTAATATATGTATACTTCTTTGCCTATTTTTTTTAGAGAGGCATTGGATTGACAGAATTTTCACCAGACGGTCGGTATTTGGCTACGCGAAATGATAATTGTTCAAATGTGATCTGGATTTGGTCAATCAACATACATTTAAGTTTACGTAGCCTTTTAATTCATACTAGCGGTGATGTTTCCTCATTGGTGTGGGATCCAAATTACTCAGGGAGACTAGCTTTATGTACGGGTTCCGATACAGTATTTTTATGGACACCTCAAGGATGCCTTACTATTCAGGTAAGATGGTTTTCTAAATAGAATAAACCAATGTTTGATTTTATTTCTTAATAATGAACTATATTGTTTAGCTCTATTCAGTAGAGATCCAAATTTCGAATGCTAATATGTAATCAGGGTTTCTATATGATTCAAAAATTTGGCACGACATCTAAAGTATTTCCAATAGAATTCAGAATTTTAACAACACTTGCCTCCATTTCACACTGGACATCAAATAGCCGGAGAGGATAAACGACAAGGAACTCCGATAGGTAGTAGATCAAGTAAGAACCTATTGCAGACGGTGGGCAGCGAGGAAACAGGTATAAAATGGACCCACACAAAAGAAATTGGAGGATCTGGACCTCGCCGATGATATATGTCTGATTTCCCACAAACTGGAAGATATGCAAGTGAAAAGCAACAAGTTGACAGACGAAGAATCCAGAGAAGACAGGACTTCAGGTGGACATAGAGAAAACAGAGGTGATGAAGATTCCTGGCCAACAGCAACAGGAACAACAATCAGCATAAACGGGAGGAATCTAAAAGAAGCAACCTCCTTTACCTACCTGGGAAGCATCGTTTCAACTACAGGCGGACGGAACCGATGAGGATATCAAGGTCGAGGATCGGGGAAGCAAGGTAAGCTTTCATTACTCTCAAGTCCGTGTGGAGGTCAATAGCACTACTCAGCATGAAAAATAAGATCCGGATTTCCAACTTCAATGTGAAGTCAGTGCTACTATGTGGATCAGAGACTTGGCGCCGAGTCGCGAATGGCACTTCGAACAAACTACAGACCTTCATCAACAGCTGTCTTCGCTCAATGTTCCACTCAGAATGCTAGTAATGAGTAATGATATAACAATCATAGAGATCAAATACAAATTTTAAAAGTGAAACAGTAATAGTAGTATGAAATGAAAAAATAAAAAGGTAAAGCAGCAATCAACCAAATTGTCAGATTTTAAAATGTATGAAGCACAAAGAACAAAATTAATAGTGCGATTTCCCCTAGTTTACTCTTTTAAGGATTTATATTGCCCGATTTCTTATGTTGAAGTTGTTAGAGATTTTAATCTAATGGATTGGAATAGGAAAGCATACTATATAAATTACTAAAAGAAATTTATTGATATAAGTATAAAACTTGGGCACTGTAGTAGAGTATAACTCCATTATAGATCAGATTTCATTTCGATGAAATCTGATCTATAAAAGAAATTTAGTTTCTCCTACTATGTTAAAGAATGTCAAAGTAGAGAAATATATGAACTAGTCGTCTCACTACACTAAAGTAGCTAGATTACATGTTATTTGGATAGTGGTGACTAGCAGTGAAATCTGGGATTAAGCATTTCGGTGCAGTATAATCAATCGACAGGAAACTCATAATGATAACCTCTACAAATAGCTAAATTTCATTTTGCACCATTAAATCGTCATGTTGGTTGGTGTAAATCAGTTATAAAAGCAAACCATTAAGAAACCGAAATAACTAGTGAAAAAAAAGAGTATATATCCTAAATCATAGATAACAATGGTGCACATTCATTTTTGTTTTCTTCATATAAATCGTAGTCATTTATTTGTCTTATTCCCTGCATGCATTGTGCTCCTAATTTTCTTGCTTATCCTGATATTTTACTCTATGTCTATCTCTTCGCTGTTAACATATATAAAATCTTAAATAGGTATACTTCAGCTTCCCTTGATTTTCTATCCTTTTCAGCTTATCATGCTCCTGTGACTTCTTGAAACAAGTCTTGTTACTATTATGACATTATTTAGGACTCTCTCTGTTTAATGTCAGTTTGTAGAGGTGGGTATCTAAGATTTATTCTTATTCTGTCACATATAAGATAATGCGTGTACACGTACACAGGAGCTCAAAGATTAAAAGCATAATAGTAATATTTAAGTTTACTGTATGGTTGACTAATTCACGCATTTCTCTTTGTGTGTTCTTCGTTTCAAATACACATATATATATAGAGCCCAGCATATTTTAATTTTACAACCTCATCACTTTGTTGGCTTCCTTCCGGAGATGGAATGCTTTTAAAATCGAAGGATGAATTTTGTTTGTGCTATTTAAATTCTGATGATGTCGATGATGATGGTGGGGATGACGACGATGACGATGATGATGACAATAATGATAATAATAAAGTTGAAAAGCATAATTCCGTTTGGAAATCATCGCAACTCAATACATCAAATGGTGAATTACACAGAAATGTAGTGAGAAGAAATTCAATGTGTGTACCTAATCATTGTCCACCGTCTATGAAACTTCATGGCAATGGTGTTCATAGACAACGTCCTATTTCTCATCCAAATTGGTTAAAACATCATGGCGAGTTTCCAAGTATACCGATGAAAATCAAAAAGTGTCCATCCCAGCATAGTAGAAACTTTCTTATAAGTAAATGATTGGAATTTACTTAAGTTTTTTTTTTCCGTTTTGTCATTCAATCACCAGTTTTTGTTGATGCCATCTTTAAATGTATGACTATGTAGAAGAATATACTAATGTTTCTTCTTTTTAACTGTACTCATCTGAATGTTACTTGTGGAAGTATTGAATTGCCTTAATTGTATTTTCTTAGCAGTGTTTTCTAATATTTGATAAGCATAGTAAATTGCAGACGTTATATTCACCTTGCGATATGTAATCTTTGTAAATATTTTTCTTGCGTTGGCCGAACAACTAGTTGTTATTTTTTTTTAAATATACTCCTTTTTAATTGTGTTGCTTTGAGAATGATATGTAGTATGCTAATAGTGCGGTACTGTGAAGGTTCTTGACTTTTTTGCATAACCTTTCATCAATCGAAATATAAGATAAACGGTCAGTAATATGAATTTAATGTAATATGCTTAACCACTAATAAACGAAGTATTGCGTTTTTTCAGTGTAAGTGTAACAGTCATATTGTGGTGAGAGCTGTCTACTAGCCAAATTGGTAGACAGTAATTTACGTCAATGTTTACGTTCTCAAGATTTGTCGTGAGAAAATGTGAACAAAGATTGATTCAAAACCGACCACAGAAGACTTTGCGTAGGCGGATACAGTTAACATATAGATGATCTGACATTCAAGAAACAGTCACAAATAGATGAAAGATTGACTTTAAGTGAGAAACAGCCAATCAAAAGACTGTGTTTGTATGCTTAACTAAACTATAATAATGTACATGAAGATATATAAATATGCTTTGATTTCTTTAATAAAGGATCTGTTGCCTGGCCGTTGTCTTCTGTTGTTACAATATGAGGCTACAACAGAGAATGTTGCATATCTTCTCATTGATAAAAGTCAATAGGTTATGGCTTCAGTGTATTTCTTAGTGAGTAAATAAACAGAAATTTTCTTAACTCCTAAATCGGAATACGGGTAAACTGATGGGAATCAGCTTAAAATAGTAATCATTTGATGACTCATCGTGTGATCGGATGACTGTGAAATTTCATCATCTTTTTCTCACTTTGGTCTTGGTTAAATCGCCAACCTGCCAGAATATTTATTTCTCTCCTGCCTTAGCCGAATCGCCTATCAATTCGAACAGTCTGTTTCCACTGTCCTGGACAGATTTTAATATGGTAAAAATTACACATAAATATGACGTGTTTTTCCTAATAAAACACTGTATCCTAACAGTCACAGGCCAGTTCTTGTCTTTTGACATTTACGTGGTTCAGTGAAGTAGTGTGGTGAGAGCTGGCTGCTAGCCAAAGTTGGTAGACAGTAATTGACGTCAATGTTTATGTCCCCAATATTGGTGGTGAGAAAATGAGAACAAAGGCTTTGCGTAGACGGATACAGTTAGCATATGAATGATCTGACACAGCCACAAAGAGATGCAAGGTTAACTTTCTGTGAGAAACAACCAATCAAATGACTGTATTTTCTACTAACAATAATGTACATTAAAATCTATAAATATGTGTTGATTTCCTTAATAAACGATCTGTTGTCTGGCCCTTGTCTTCCGTTGTTACAGTAGAAGGTACCACAGATGAATAGATATATCTAGCATATCAGTTGACTTGTTCATTCCGTCAGTGTTATTATTATATCCACGCATAAGTCCACTTGGTCATATCAGTTGTCGACGAGAGATCGTAACAATTGACGACCAACTTAAAATCCTTCACAAATGAACATCATTTTAAATTGTCACACGTAGCAGGAGTACACAAAAGTGAATTAATAAAAAGTTTTATTGTACTGCAATGAGCACATATGAAAATAAAAGCATAAATAAAGTGGTTCACCAGATATTTATGAGATGTATAAATTACTTTGAACTATTTTTAGGTCGAATTCTTTCGTAGCACTAGGATTATACAATGATGGACGAGAATATTTAGTCTCTGTGGTGTTGTATTCCAACATTTTAGACACCTGACTTCCAAACAATGGGCTACGGGATGAAAACCCGCTCCACCTACCGTGGTTTGCACATTCATATGGTATCACTAACCTTCATAAATTTATGTGGCTCGTTACCATGGAAATGCAAATGGTTGTTCAGTACCATTAGATTTTACATTCAGTCGTTTTTGCACTCATAGGACAAAGCTGCCTATTGAAGAAATTATTTTAGGAATTCAGTAATGCCTCACATCTAGTATCTTTAAATTCCAAGGTAAAATATATAGACAAACTGAAGGTGTAGCAATGGGATCACCAATATCCCCTATTGTAGCAGATATATTTATGGACAGCTGGGAAAATATTGATCTTAATACATTTAATCCTACTGCAAAAATATGGTGGAGATATGTGGATGACACTTTCACAGTATTAAAAACAGAACATATCTCTAGCTTCTTGAGACACATAAACTCACTAGTGGAGGGAATAAAATTCACATTTGAAACCGAAAATGAACAAGGAGAATTAGCTATGTTAGATTGTAAAATAAAACGAATAGAAGAGGGTAAACTACACACTAGCGTTTATAAAAAACCAACGCATTCTAATAGATATTTAGACTTTAATTCATCTCATCCGTTAACTGTTAAGGCAGGCTTAGTTAAGTGTTTAACAAACCGAGCAATGGCACTAAGTAGCACAAGAAAAGACCTAAATGATGAAATAAAACAGATAGAAGAGGCGTTGGTGTTAAATAACTATCCTTTAAAATTCATTAGGAAGATCGAAAAAGACCAAAAGAAAAAGAAAAATAATTGTGAAACTAGTAATGATAACATATATAAGAGAGAATATAAGTCATCTACAGTTATACCATATAAAGAGGGAACATCTGAGACCTTACGTAGGATTCTAAATAAAGCAGGAATTAGGGTGGCATTTAAACCTACAAACTCACTCAGGGACAGGCTCTGTAGGTTAAAGGACCCAGTTGACTCAATTAGACAAAATAATATAATTTACAAAATACCCTGCAATGACTGTGAGGTCAACTACATAGGTCAAACTAGTAGGTCAGGGGTAGTCAGATTGTCAGAACATAAGAAGTTTAGCTAAGGTAAGAATGGTTGACCCAGGGAAGATAAGTAATTTAGAAAAAAGCTCAGCAATTGCAATGCATGCATTAACACACAACCACACAATAGGGCGGGAGAGGGTTAAAATTCTAAAAAGTAATCTAGGTAGGTGGAGAGAGAGGTTGATTACTGAGTCCTTGTTCATCGAATCTACACCTAACACATTCAATAGGAATGATTCATCACTCATACCCGAAATATAGGAAATATTACTACCAATCAAATCAAGTGAAAACCAACGGAACTATATAAATGAATCAATGATGTCGTGTGATTACCTTGATATGATTATGAGCAATAAATTGTGCTCGAAACGTCATCAGTAAACATTACTGTATAACACTGTGAGACTTTATCAAAGCAAAATTTACCCATAATAGTTCCATTAAAGTTGGGTACTGTGCCTTTACTCAACTTATTTTGTAGCGAAATAGCATGCTCTAGCCCAGCTCATTTAATTTCAAAACAAATAAAGATTAAAGTTGTATGTTATAAAAACCACCCTATCAAATCAGTTGGAATAAAGAATCCGTGGCCTCTGCGTTTCATCCATATCGTTGCTACTTTCTAAGTAAATTTATCAGACAATATTTGTAAAGTGACTAAAAGTCTGGTCATGGATAATAATCTCGATATGACTGGAATTCAGAAACAGTCTATGACTTCTGAATTTGTACGCCAAAAGAATGGCGGATGGGAACTACGGAATATACGACGATAGAAGAAAAATTCATACGCATAATATTCATCAAAATGGTAGCAATCCATTGTCTTATAGAAAGTTATCTTTACAATATACTTCAACAAATTGGTAATCCAAAGGAAAATTCATCAAGGTATCCTTATCAAAATCGTTACTATGAAAGTATCACGAACACGGTTTCTATTGCATACATCAGAAGTGCCTCAGAAATGACATTTGAATGTGTTACGAGTGTGTAAGACTGGTTTAAATCACAAACCTGTGAAACGCACAAAATGCAGCGTCGGTGTCACAGTGGCTAGGACACTCGCCGACCATGCACATGGTCTGGGGTTCGATCCCTTGCCGACGCACACCCGATATCAATTGTCGGCCTGCAAAATTTGGGCTACCGATATCACATGCTGAAAATTCCATACTTGTATCAAAAATACTGTGTGGTTTCAAGCTATAATCGAAAAAAATAAGCACATATTTGAGTAAGACGTAATGATGAATCATCACTTATCCCACTGCCTGTCGAGCAATACGGTTCTGATTGGTACAGAAATTTTTAAGTCTTGAAATGTAACAACTCTAGATTAGCAAAGAAAGTGATGTTCGGCAAAGATAATTCATGGTCAAATACTGAGTGACTTACAAACAGTCTTCCGATCCGAATAGTTAATCAAACACAGCAACAAGCTGAGATTTTTAAAAAAATGAATGCTTTCTGGAAATTACTTTAGGTGAAACATAACCGAACATCCATTAGATGAAGAACAACACTTCAGAAAATATAAGAACAGTTACTCCAATTAATCAGATGAAAAGATAGAAACATAAAAACGGTAAAAATTGAACAGCTTAAAAGTAATTAACCCCAGAAAGAGTAGGAAAAATTACTATATACTGTAAACAACCAGTGAACGCCAAAGAAAGGAATTTAAAACTGGAGGGGTGGGGGCTAGTGACTCTACTCAGGGAAATCAGTCAAACTGCTAAGGAAACCTCAACGAAGATGAAAAATACAAAAAAAACTTGTTCTTCGCTGGAACTGGAGAGGGGAAATGACGCGGACTGGTGAAAGCCTTCGGGAAGCTAGTCAACCGACGTGTGTGTCTCCTTTCGGTGAAAACAAGAATAAGAATGGGGATGTGGAAATTCCGTACAATGTATGAAGCTGGGACCGTAGAAACTTGAAAGAGGTTACTTCATTCACTTATCTAGCTAGGAATCACTGTGTCAACCACAGACAGTCGGAAAGGATGAAGATGTCAAAGCCACTCAGAATCGTAAGGACAAGGCACATCTTCATCAATCTGAAGCCGATTAGGAAGTCTTCTGCACTGACTTTGTATAAACAACATGATTCAAATTTCAACACAAATGTGAAGTTAGTGTTGTTGAAGCTCTATGTTCCACTTGGAACCCAAGAGAACAATAATAATATAAGTGGTATGAGTGATGGTAGTATCCAAGTGACCAGGCCATTAGAAAAAACTAACACAAACATCAAAGACAAAATGAACTGGATTCCTATCAATACATCATCCATGAAAATTGTCAATAGACAGTCAATTTTCTTGATGCGATTATGAACAATAAACTGTGTTTGAAACGTCATCACTAAGTAATAGTATATCATTACTGCATGGAGGATTTCATCATGAGCTGACATCAGTTAGAGAACCACTGGGAAACCTGGGAGTACTGGAGAGCTGCTTCGTCCTAGTTTGGGACTCCTCAGCAGTACGTGCCCACCGGGATTCGAACCCAAGACCTTCTGGTTACAAGGCGAGCTCGTAGACCATTGAGCCACTGGTACCCGATCCAATGGTTCTTGAATATATCATTATGTTTTACCTAAAAGGATTATTATATGATAGAACCAGTTTTCTATTCATCTCACTATTTATTACCCTCATGAAAAGTCCTAAAGATTACGCCTAGATTGAAATCTAACATTCTACAGGGAAAATCTTACTGCTATAGAACGTGGAGACTAAAAACATTCACTATGTGAACTGTCAATGTTTACCATTATACCTAAGAAATTATTTACAAGTTTGGAGTATGAGTTAGTGTTCTTGATCAGGTTTGTCAGACAACTAACCATGAAATATTGAATCAAACTTTCTATCTTAACACACCATTATTATACAAAACTTTGATTATATATATGTGAAATGAAATTCGATATTAGATGATATTTTAGAAAGTATGAAGACTTCGAAATAATAGAGAAGATTTGCAGAACAGGTGGATAATTTTTCATAGTCTGTGCTGAAGACATTGTCTAGAAGGATAATGAAAGTTTCTCAATTGAACTACCCAGCTGAAAGAACTCAACCACATCAAAAAGATTGCAAATCTAGTTATGTAATTCTTCATGAAAATGAAGTTGATTTTACTTAGATTTATTACAGCACTTCTTTTTATTGTTTTAGTCCAAGTTTTTATGTGAAAAAGGTGTATGCAGGCGGAATTTGTATGAACCACCTCTCTAGTACACAGTATTTCATAGTCAGGTGAGAAAATAAGTACCTTTTTTGTTATTTATATTTGGTTGTATGCTTATCAATATATGAAGTTTTTAACAGGTTTAATTAATGGCATTTATCGTCAAGACAGAAAAATTGAACAACAGCTGACACCTATTCTTATTGGTCCTGTTGTAACAACAGAAGACAAGGGCCAGACAACAGATCCTTTATTAAGGAAATCAAAGCATATTTATATATTTTCATGTACATTATTATAGTTTAGTTAAGCAAACAAACACAGTCTTCTGATCGGTTGTTTCTCACTTAAAGTTAATCTTTCATCTCTTTGTGACTGTTTCTTGAATGTCACATCATCTATATGCTAACTGTATCTGCCTGCGCAAAGTCTTCTGTGGTCGGTTTTTGAATCAGTCCTTGTTCCTATTTTCTCACGACAAATCTTGAGAACGTAAACATTAACGTAAATTACTGTCTACCAATTTGGCTAGTAGACAGCTCTCACCACACTGTGACGGTAAAATAATTCGCCCTTTGATTATCATAGGAGATTGAACCTGTCATAGGATTTACATAGTTAGTAAGCTGATTAGGATGAGACTTACTACTAATCGCTCTTAACCTCCACACTAATTACACGGTAGTTTACTCATTATTGATAAGATCTTTTGAATAAGTGCGCTTTTTAAAACGCTAATAATTATGTGGTCATTTAAGCATTAAGATGTGTTGACTTCTTACAAGTTACATCTTCAAGTTTTAAACAGTTCATAAATTGATAAATTACGTGTTAAGTTAGCAGAAAATTAAATTATTCAAATACTTTGAGAATGTACAATTTCATTCTGGTCTTTTTTTTCTTCACGTTCCCCAGTGGAATATAGGGCTTCAAGCTAGTGGCTTGAAGTCTCTTTAGCAGTGTTTATTTTACAGGATGGGGTTGCTAGCCTCATGCCCAACCTTTCCTCTTCACCAGCATTATTTCTGACTTAGCGAGGTAAAGGAGTGCATCAGCCGGGGATCGAACCCCAGACCCTGTGCATGGTCGGCGAGCGTCCTGACCGCTATGCCACCAACGCTGATCATTAGAAGTTATAATTTACCTCGCAGAAAGTTGTGGATCTAAGTTGTTATATATGCATTACGGAAAAGACGTTTTTGTTACCTTGAGGGAAGCCACATTTTCCATGAGACTTAAAACTACGTCAAATATTTAATTTGTTTATAAATGAGATTATTATTGAAATGGTTTGTCCGATAGAATTTAAATTAGCCTTAGATTACATCTACACCTCCAATGATTATTTTAAGTAAGCGGGAAACCCAAGTGAAAAGCTTCCTAGTAGTCAGCACACACTACGTAGTACAGCGGATATTAGTGTCATCTCACTTCTGAAAGATGCTACGTATAACGCGAATCTGGCTGATAGAATTCAAATAGCCCCTCGGACTATACGATTACGTTTGTTTGTTGCATGGGGTACACTGAAGTCATTCAACGAAAATTTCACTTATCAATAATAATAATTATTTTAGTTAGAAATCATTGGAATTGTTTTACATAATAATCAAATTGTACTTGGAACTTTATAATATACACATAATTGCCCTGTTAAATCATGTTGGTTTGTTGTTGTGTTGGAGCAGCATTTTTCTGATTGTTAGTTTATAAATCTTTAGAAGCAAATTGATTCCAAGGGACTGAAATAGAAGTGTTACTTTCATTAAATTGACTGGCATCAAGATAAGAATTGTGCTGTGAATTCTGATTGATAATTCCAGTTTGAATATATTTAAGATGTACAAAATGAGAATTATTAGGTGACTTTGTTCCTTCTATTTTTATTTCATCAACTGTTGTCTTTCCATTGCATAAGCTAAAACTAGTTAGTGATGGAAATGTCGTTGTTGTTGTTGTTATAGCGGTCGTTGTTGTCAATCCTGTTGTCGATGTTGTTGAATGTGTCAATGGAATGAATGATGAAGTTTTAGACAAAACAGAATTTAAACTCGTTGAATGAGTCGGTGAAACATTCATATAACAACTGGCTGCCATCGCAGCTGCTGCAGCGACAGCTGTTGCATTTAACTGATCACCTTCATTTTGTTCTCCAGTAGATTCTTTTAAATATGTATAACAATTTTTATCAAATGTATTCTGATAAAACTTTGAACATGAATAAAAATCTTTTATTGGATATTCTAGATTCGTTTTTGTCTTATTTGTATTATCATTAATTGTATTGTTTGTAATTATTTGTAAATTATTTTTGGTCAGTTCAGAGAAGAATGGTTTTCTTTCATTTTGAGCTATTCTACACCATTGCCTCATTCTTGAATTTGAACTATCTTCTCCCGCCTCTTCAGTAGCTAATGTTGTAGCAGACGTTAATAGCTTTGAAAAGTGCTCTAGATCTTTCCTTTTCTTAGCTTGAGTTAGCTTTCTATTTCTTGTTTGAATTACTTCTTTCTTCATTGATAATGGTCGATTTATCTTAATTTTTTGAAAAAGAGAAAACCATGTACAGAAAATATCTGTTATCATTGTATAAGGTAAATTTAAGTTAAATTCGTAATTTATTAAGTCACTTACTCAAGGTAAAGTGAAAAGGTTTGTGTTGTCATTTACTAAATGAAGTGTATTTTGTTTTGAATATCAAAGACAGTCAGAAAGATCGTTAATCTATGCTAGTTACAACTATAAAGCGGCCTAGTCTTAATTTTTGGAGACCTAATCGATCTCAAAGTTGACTTTGATATGTAACAAGACTACCTAGAACAACTGTGAAGCACTCAGTTAAATTCAACCCATTTCGAGACTCCTCATGGGTGGTTATCCCTGGGATCATGGTGTACTCAAGCTGGGACTGTCAAGTCTCAAGCTGAGCCACTATTTAGCTTCTGAGATGGAACCCAGTCAGCCACGCTATTAGTTTCTCCTAGCTTGTGATGAAATCTTCCAAACTATGGTCAGATAGACAGTAGGCATCAGGGTGAGGTGAAATCCCTCCTGAAGCACTGAAAACTGACCCAGAGACTGCGGCAGAAATGCTGACGCTATTATTGCAAAAGGTTTGGAAGGAAGGAAAGGTACCTACCGACTGGAAGAAAAGCTACAATGTCAATCTACCAAAAGAGTATAAGACCACACTAGTAAGAGGAGTTCGAAAAACGCCTTCTGCATACACAGCTAAGGTGTTTCCTCCTGTGTAGGAATAGATTCCTCCATGAAGAGAAGAAGTATCCGGAAATCTTAAAAAATGGAAATTCAAAAAAACCAAGATTCAAATAGTAAATTTATGATTTACTTTACGATTAAATATTTGAAAAAAAACACATTCATACTGGTGAAGACGACAGTTTGGATAACAGAAGATGATAGATATTCACACTGAGTCTAAATTTATTACTCAGAATACTTCAATACGTATTCATCACTGACAAATTCTATCCATGACAGTCTTTTTCACTACGACTGTTGTACAAACCGAGAACAAATCAGTCTGGTCACTGATGCTTAATTCAGATATAATCTTAACGAGTTATTCGCCAACCAATGAAAACCAAATGCATGTGTTAAATCGTCTGCAATCAAATTCCCATTCATGTAAGAATTAATGTGATACACTCTGTTGCAATAATGATGACATACTCCTGCAGACTTTACGATTATACAGACTGAATAAAATTGTTGAAACAGACCAAATTATTGATATTATTATTTCATAGTCTTTATCTGAAAGTGATTCGGATGTCTAATGTTTAGGTGACTCCTATTAAATAGACTGTGTAACTCAATGACCCTGCTCAGATTCATTGAACAGAATAAGAGCTACACTCAAAAGATGAGGACTTATAATAGTGTATGATTGCCTACTTCTGAAGTTAGTAAAGTATCAGTCAGTTAATTATTGTTTAAAAATTGGAATATTTAAGAAACATCCTCATTTTTAGGCTGTTTGATACAGTTAAATCTACCTAATAACCAAAAACAGTTTGTGTCTAGAAAGTCAGTCGACAATAATCAGTGCAAATGTGAAAGTGATGCTATATATGGTATTTATATTTGTTACCATCTAATACATTGCATGTAACTTTTCTGTAACAGGATGATATGTTCCTCAAGCACTTTAAAGACAGTAAGTAGATTTACAGCTTGACGGAAAGAACAACAAAGTGCACAGTTAAGTAATTTCCATTGTAAACGCTTTTAAACCTTATGACTCATTTGCTGTAAGACTGTAGGGGTTAACAGATAAATAACCATTTAAATGGATCAGTGATTTATATTCCAAATGCGGTAATTCAGTTTCCCCACATGAATTATAGGACTCTGATTAGACACTAGTTAGTAGTTAGTGTAATGTGCGTATTTCTTTGTTTGGTGCAAACTGAATTCTGTCAATCAAGTTTGCAATGTAACCAGCATTCTAGGTGGCTCGCCATCATGGTACACTGTGAATTGTTGGTATTAGATGGTTGGAGGCAATCGGCGGGAACCCTTGGACCTAGGTTTCATGCTAGTTAGCACTCGTCAGGAGGGCGTATGTGTAATCTTGAAGATACAAATGTCCCTTCTGACTTGACTGATGGAATTCAGTCTGCACCAAACAAAGGACTAGACATATAACACTAGTTGCTAACTAGTGTCCGTTTGGAAATCTTCTAGATCTCCACCACAACATAAACAAAAAGATTCGGATTCTGTTCAACACAAATGTGAAGTCAGTTAGTGCTTCCATATGGGCCGAGAACTTGGTCTACGCGTCAAGAAAAGCATTTCCAACAGGCCATTTCACACTTTTATCAACAGCTGTCCCCTTCGCTGGCCCAATGCTGAAGACCAATTGGCTGGCTAGCCAGAGAGAATTAGCAGCGAGGAACTCTGAAAGTGAACAAACCAACTGAAAAACTATCGTTCAACAAATATGTAGGAGAAAATGGAGATGGATTGGGCATATGATGCGGAGGCCGACGAACCTGGCCTGTAGTATCAACAAGATATGAGCTCGTTGTCAGATTCTGCGACATATACACACTCATCAGCAGCTGTGTTTATAGAAAGGTCTTAAGGCACTGTTCAGATGTTTGACAAGCCTTTTACTACACTAAAGGCCTATGCAGACCTATGCACATGCGATCGTGATAAAGCCTGTTGTATTAACATTTGATTCTTGTCTTGAACTCATATTAGGAATTAAGTGTTTGATAAGGAACGGTGTTGTGTCGCACTACATGACACGAAAATAGTTATGAAAGCTCCAGGATCTCAGTGAGTTTTGCCTTCCAACCATAGTGAAACAAGCAACTAAACAGTGTGAAGGCCAAACACAGAGTCTAAGTTGAAACAGATGATCATTCATCAAGACTGCCAATTTCCACTAATTGAAGTGGCTGGCATATACGCTGCGCGCGGCTATGTTTATGTTTTGGTTTATGATATTGCCTACAGTAGGAGAGACGACCAAATCAAGAAAAGAAATCAGCTAGTGAAGTCACTGTATATTGTGTAAAACGTATTGGGAAGTGTAGGTTGTGATGTCTGGGATGTGTGGTATAAGGTAGGCCAGTAGTGGGAACTTTAGACAATATTGCTGAAGATTAATCTTACTGACAGTAGATTCATTCATACTTCATACAAATTATAACTATACTATATCCTTCGCTTTTTGTTTTCTGTCTTTTAATAATTTAACCGCCATGTTCTCAGTTTGTTCTGTATTTCGTCACATTTTTTAAAAATTATTTCGAAGACTCGACTTATGATAATATAAACTTCTAGGCAGTAACTAGAAGTCCTCTAATGAAAATCTGTTTGTTTATCAGGTTTCTATTGACGACATTCAGTCGTGTTGATCACCTAATACGATACTGGTGCAAGGGTTTAAAGACTGTCTTTAACTTTCATCAAGACAAGAATCTTATTTCATTTCAGTATTTGGTAATAAAAGTTTTCTGTTTTCTTTTTTTTATTCCTTTACGTTCCCAGTGGAAAATAGGGATTCAAGCTAGAGCTTTGAAGTTTCGGAAGCAGTAATGCTTATTTTTACGGGATGGGGTTGCTAGCCTCATGCCCAACCTCCCCTCTTTACCAGTCTTATTACTAGCTGGACCAGGTAAAGGAGTGTGTCGACCGGGGATCGAACTCCAGACCACATCAGGCGTGGTTGGCGAGCATTCCACCGCTGTGCCACCGACGCGCATTTCTGTTAGTACAATATTAAGTTTATAAGATCACTTTGAACCAACGTAACTCATTGAATATGCCTAAAATGATCATTCTGTCTAACCATAACTGTCTATGTTTATAAGCAGTACTGTTACACGAATTCATCAGAAGCAAAAAGAGAACTGACTTACATGATGTAATTTGTAATAGAGACCACACGCATTACAAACTGAATCACCTTGTTGATTACGTCTCCATAATGTTGTGTGAGATGTACGACAATTAGCACAAAATGTACCGACTTTGCGATTTGCCGACTTAATTAATGAGTAGAAGAAAAAAAAAAAGGAAAAATTAGGATGAAACAAGTTTTCTTATCTAATGAAACAGATTTATAATAAGACTGTAGTAGAGAGAAGTCTGATATCATTCTGATCTTTATAAGTGCAATTTGCGCAATGTCAAAAATCAAAGTGTAAAATACTTCTTCAACTGTTAAGTTTACGCTGCAGAGTATTCAGGTAGTCGAAAACATGAGTTTCACTGTCTTTCTTCACCGATAGCAAAACTACCTTGAATAAATTATTTTCATTGATTTTGTTATCGTTGCGTACATATCATGACCGAGTCTGAGAATATTGTGATGTTCCTTAGATAATTTTAGTTTTTCTCGTTCATTGTTACGACAGTTTTACAGAAAACTGAGTATTCCTGTGAAGTGCTAGGACTCTAGCACTTGTTTATATTTGTGTTGTTCTTTGAACCTAAAACTTGTGAAAATATTTTTTTTCCTTCACGTTCCCCAGTGGAACATAGGGCTTCAAGCTAGTGGCTTGAAGTTTCTGTAGCAGTGTTTACTTTACGGGATGGGGTTGCTAGCCTCATGCATTTCGTCTTCACCAGCATTATTTCTGGCTTAGCGAGGTAAAGGAGTGCGTCGGCCGGGAAGTGAACCCCGGACCATGTGCATGGTTGGCGAGCGTCCTAACCGCTGTGCCACCGACGCAATGTGAAAATATTACTAAGTATAAATATTCATTGGGAGGTTTTGTTCACCTTTTGTGTGGTCTATGAAACTGTGTGTATGCCAATAGCATTTTCGCTCTACAGGACCGAGAATCTAAACGTCAGTGTAATGCTGTGGAAAACAGTTACTACTTTTCCTAGAACAAGAAAACTTGTAGATTTTTTCACGCTAAAGCCTTCAGACAGTAACTCCACAATGTGTAAACAAAATAGTCGCTTCCATTATGACTGAAGATTACATGACACAGATAACAGTCTGGTTTGAAATCAGTTTATTATGGTGAGGAAGTCCGTCCGATGAAACCGGATACGAGTTGAATGAGATAATGGTTTGAAAATATTAAATATTCCCATAGTAAAATTTAGAACAACACATTTAAGCGAACAATATTGTTTTCAATTAGATCTCATCAGGCTTAACTCTAATATACATAACTTTACAGTTAAAAATTCAAATATAAACCAATCATGATATTTTGTCTATAGGATAATAAGATGGTGAATATAAATTGTGCAATTAGTCATAATAGTAGTGATGATAACAGTAATAATAATAATAATAACAATAATAATAATAATGATAATGGTTCTATCAATTATAAGGATGAAAAAGTGAGGCGATCTGTGATAGCACGAATAACGAAAAACAGCATGATTAAACAAACAAATGTAGTCGATAAAGGCTAAGGAAAACAAATGAACCGATTTCTTTTATTTTGATTGCAGCTTGATTCCACACAGTACCTTTTTTTAGTAGAAGTAAAGAATTTTCAGCATGTGATATCGGTAGCCCAAATTTTGCATTTATCAATAAAACTGCATCTGCGGTGACAGTTATTTTGGGAGTACTACTAGACAGCTTAGCCAACGTGTTACTGAGCATCCCCCATCGTGGTTTGGCGAAGGACAGACAAAAACAATCCAAAAGACTTCGTATTCGTCTACTATACACAGCTGAGGCGATAGATATTCGAACTATTAAAACTAATCTATGCATTGAAAAGTAGTTCGCACAGCCATTATCCCTCCCTTGACTTATTGAGACATAACCAACTGATGACTTCTCCACCACCCCTTACTTATATTTTTCGCCTCCTCTCTTATCATCCCTTAATCTTATCACATCTTCATTAAAGACGTATTTCATTTACTCCCCTTGCAATCTAGCATTACTTAATCGTCGGTGGCACATTGGTCAGGACTCTAACCAACCATGAATATTGTCCGGGGTTCGATCTCCTGCCGACGCACACCCGATATCAATGGTCGGCCTGCGAAATTTGGGCTACCGATATCACATGCTGAAAATTCTTTACTTCTACTAAAAAAAGGTACTGTGTGGAATCAAGCTGCAATCAAAATAAAAGAAATCGGTTCATTTGTTTTCCTTAGCCTTTATCGACTACATTTGTTTGTTTAATCATGCTGTTTTTCGTTATTCGTGCTATCACAGATCGCCTCACTTTTTCATCCTTATAATTGATAGAACCATTATCATTATTATTATTATTGTTATTATTATTATTATTATTATTATTATTATTATTATCATTACTACTATTGTGGTGAGAGCTGTCTACTAGCCAAATTGGTAGACAGTAATTTACGTTAATGTTTACGTTCTCAAGATTTGTCGTGAGAAAATATGAACAAAGACTGATGCAAAACCGATCACAGCAGACTTTGCGTAGGCGGATACACTTAACATATAGATGATCTGACACTCAAGAAACAGTCACAAGAGATGAAAGATTAACTTTAAGTGAGAAACAACCAATCAGAAAACTGTGTTTGTTTGCTTAAATATCCATAGTAATGTACATGAAAATATATAAATATGCTTTGATTTCCTTAATAAATGATCTGTTGCCTGGCCCTTGTCTTCCGTTGTTACACTATTATGAGCAATTGTACAATTTATATTCACTACCTTATTATCCTATAGACAAAACACCATGATTGGTTTATATTTGAATTTTTAACTGTAAAGTTATGTATATTAGAGTTAAGCCTGATGAGATCTGATTGAAAACGATAATAATGGCTTGAGCGAAAGTATAAATCTCTTTAATGGCAGTATTCACATCAGCGGCCTAGGACTTGCTGATTACACTAGGAAACCCAAATAATAAATGTGAGTGTGGTAGTTATTCGCATATCAGTTTTGTCGACAATTCATTTTGGTCAAAGATAACAAGATATTGTTCCCGGTTATTAGTATTTGTTATAGGTGAAGTAATAGTACTAACAGTGGTCATAGTAGTAGAATTAGTAATGCTGGTCTTTCTGGATATATTTTTATACGGAAAAACACTCTGTTCTTCTTATTTTGAGTATTTTCATTTGTTTTATTGAAAGTACATTTAATGCGAATATGTGAGAAGGTAAAACTTAGCGTTCACAGCTACGTGTTCTTCTTCCTGATAGCCTTGTAAACTAGGTATTTTCCAAAAAAACCTATTCACTATTTAATGACGCATTTTTGAGCCTTCAAAATTCCTTTGATAATGATGTGAAAAAATTAATTCAGTGATGTAAGTCTTTATGAACAATTGTTATTATTATTGTTTCCTTTAGTTCCTAGAGGAACATAAGGCTTCACTCGCACGTCTCCACTGCGTTCGGTCCTCTGGCAACGTTTTCACCTGTCTCCACGTCTGTCCACATGCTTTCATCCCCTTTTCACATGACCTCCTCCATGTCACCCTCACAATGACGACCAACTCGCCGCTTCCCGTTCGATCGGGTTTCACTCGAGCAATGGCCTGGCGTGTCATGCCACTTGATGGTTTTCTCAAAGTATCGCCAATCCACCTCCATTTCTTCCTGCATATTTGTTGCTTAATCGATTCATGTTAGGTTGGTTCGCTCATCGCCATAGAACCCTGTTGCTGATCTTTTCTGGCCATCTGATCTTGATTATTGAGCGAAGGTCTATTAGGTCTAACTTATCCTTCATGAATATAGATAAAATTAAAGTAAATCTTGTGCACTTTCTAAATCATCTAAATGACTTTATGCACTTTGTTTTGTTACTTTAGTTATGTCGTTTCAATAGTCGTCATCCTCATGAGTAATATGACTTTTGAAAAGTGTAAATTTGTTTTGGTTTAAAATCAAAATCAAATGCACAATAAAGTGTAAATTACCATGCGTCTTTTAGGTTTTATCAATGGTCTGTTCGTCCCATTCATTTTGTGATACAAACCGCATGCATTGCATAAGTAATGCCCAGCTTCATCTCTTCTCCATAATGGTGTTTGAGTAGCCCCACAGTTAACACACTCTCGACCATCTATAAGAGGATTAAACGTTTCACCATTAATTGACAATTAATAACAGAGTAAAAGGCTTATTTAGCTGTCTTTTTGTACAGTAATAATCAGAACAAAAGTAGGTAATACTGAATAACGAAAAGGGATTGAAATTTACATCGTAAATGTAAACATTTGGGAGCAGACAGCTGCAATAGTTACTACATGGGCTACGAATGTACGCGCCAAACACAAGTCTCGAAAATACAACAGACGGCTGGTGGTAAAAGACATGTTACTAGGCTATTCAAATACTAAAAAGTTAAAGTTGTGTCCAATTCTAGTTCACTTATAATCCGCTGTGTTTCAGTGACTTGGCAACACATCTTAGCCTGTCAGACGTAAATAACCCTGGGACAATAACATTATCCACCATTCAGTGACTGGCTTATTTCTTCATTGTGACTGATACTTTTAAATTTTGCTTCAATGTAAAAACTGTATCATGAAGAAAATTGTCAACTTTATAGTGCAATTTGAAATATGACTGTAATCGTAAAAAATGTAAGAAGTAAAGATTCTAAATCAGACTACTGATTTTTATTAGTAGTATTTGATTCACGAATATAACTTATTAATCTCTTCAGGGAGTACAAGCAACACCAAAAGATGGCATATAACAATATATGATGATATTTCATAAAACAGTACTTCTGTGGTGAGAGCTGTCTACTAGCCAAATTGGTAGACAGTAATTTACGTCAATGTTTACGTTCTAAAGATTTATCGTGAGAAAATATGAACAAAGACTGATTCAACAACCGACCACAGAAGACTTTGCGTAGGCGGATACAGTTAACATATAGATGATCTGACATTCAAGAAACAGTCACAAAGAGATGAAAGATTAACTTTAAGTGAGAAACAACCAATCAGAAAACTGTGTTTGTTTGCTTAACTAATCTACTATAATAATGTACATGAAAATATATAAATATGCTTTGATTTCCTTAATAAACGATCTGTTGACTGGCCCTTGTCTTCTGTTGTTGCACTTCGACAACTGCTTCTATTAATAGTTGCATTACAGGATAATACGGATAAGAAAAAAATATGTATGTCGACGGTTGCGTTACGTATTATTTACAAAAATACATTTAACTAGTATAAATTGTTATGTCAACTGACAGTAGTCATAGTAACAAAAACAAACTAAGTTGTTCAGAGCTATACAAACATGAGGATACAGTAGAAAAGTAAAACAAACAAACACCTTGAAGAAGAAAATGAATATTTTTATCATAATAGACGTTCAATACAAGACCAACATTTTTTTCAGTATCAAGACTAATTTTTCTAATAAACAGCCATTTAAAATATAAAACAACATGCGAAAAATGATGTCACATCCCACTGTATTTACCAATTTGAATGTACGTATGGCCACACATACATAGGGAAGACTCATCGATCTCTGCAAGTAACGGCTGGCTTCAGAGCATATACCTAAATAGCTTCAGAAGCAAACAGAATCCCCACAACCCATTAATGGTGAGAACAGACAACCTAGATCGTCTGTTGTGGAACATATTATAGAGACAGGAAATAAAAGTGATGTTTACTTGTCTTTTAAACCTTTCTATAAAACGTGTTTGGGGCGTATCCTAAAGTTTGAGGAAGCCCTAGCTGGCAATTAGAAAGTTTAAACCACCTTTATGCGTTCAAAAAAGATTCGTCATCACACTAAACCTTCCTTGGTAAACTTTGTTCCAATACCATGGCAGATGTACCCTTACCTCTCTTATTTAGTTTAGTGATCTTCATTGTTATTTCCTTTTCATTCGACCTAAATTTATTTTCTCACCTCTTAACTCTTTATTAGTTTCAAATATATTCCTATGACCTGTCCTTGTGTGATGAGATTGTTTGAAATGTATTGCGCAAATACATTACACAGTTCAGAGAAATTACGTCTTCTTATTGTTTTGTCTAAATTCATAAAGGGAACTAATTGTTTTAAAGCCATTTAAATATTCCTTAAGTTGATTTCACTTCACAAATACAGACCATGTGAACTGTTCAAATGTGAACCTTTCATCGGAATACAGTTAAAAGTACCAAGGTGGAAATCTACTACTCAATAGAGCTAAAATAACAACTAACAGCTGTTCAGTATCTTTTGGATCCTAACAACCTTCTCAATCCCATGTTGAATGAATTTATTCAATATATCACCCAGTGATCATTATATTATGGTCACCAAAGTTCTGTCCTTACATTAGTGACTTTCTAAACTGTATTATAATTTAAAAGTGCTACTCTCAGGTTACGAATTCTCTAAAGAAGGAAATTAACTAATTCAGTATTTAGTAAACTGACCTGCTAAACTTTTAGCTTTACTCCGCAATTTACTAGCCAATGATGATATTCTTAACATCTGGACTGTTGTAGCCGGATCTAAACCATGGAATGCAACTGCAGCTGCTGTTGCAGCTGTCAAATGTGGAACAGATGATTTTATACAATTTGCTGTTCCTACTGACGGTAATGTTGGTGTTGTTGTCATCGTTGTTATAGGAGAATTCCATATGACATTATTATTATTATTATTGATTGGTGACATATTTACATCGAATTTATTGCACGCTGTATCCATTAGATTTTTAGCGAAAACATCATTTATAAAATTAAAACTGGTTTTATTTCGATTACTAAAAGGAGGATCTAGTGTATACAGGGGATTTGAATTGAACATTGGAAATGTGTCCGAATGTTTGGCTTGACTGTTATTGTTAGCATTAGCATTATTATTATTATTATTGCATATAGACATGAAATCTGTGTATGTTGAAGGATGGAGGTTATTCACGCAACAAATATTCATCAGATTATCACCATTGGTGATTAATTCACCATTTGGATGATGCATTCCCGAGATAAGTGATTGTTGTTGTTGTTGTAATCTATGTTTATCACTTGATAATTGGTTAAATGAATTCACTGTTACATCTGTTGTAAATCTTGTTAGATTTTTTTCTGTATTTATCAAAGACTCTGACATAATTTTCTGCTCCGTACAGATTTGTTCCTCTGAGAATTTTTGATGCTGGTTTCTATGGTAATGATTGTCATTATGATTAGACGATGGTGATACTTGTTCATCTAACCATGAACCAAGATTCGATAGTGATTTTCTCCAAGATGAATCAATAGTAGACTGAAAGAGAGATGTAGACCTAAAAATAAAGAAAATAAAAAGAGAATATATAAAGAGATCATGACTAGGTGATTTTATTTATATGCTATGCAACAATGATTGGCTAAATAACGTAAATATTCAGTGTTTGCATTTACTTTGCTTTAATTTTCCAAGTATATACATCCTAAAAAGGCCTCCTACGGAATGCTTAAGAAAAAGTGCACAGCAAGTTTTGGTGGTGGAATCTCGAATATACAGCTACTTACACGGTCCTGCTGGAGATTAGTCTTGATCTGGATAAGTTGTTCATAACGTCATCCGATCTCAGTAATATATGACGTAGGTCCAGATATATGAAGAATACAGTTTCACCAGATTGTAGTATTGAGTACTGGGGGTTAACAGCAACCAGTAGCTAGCACCCACAGATAATTTGACAAACATAAATTTATCTGATTATGCTGCATTCGAATTTTTAACCAGCTAACTTATTGTGGATGTTCCTGATTCTCCAGAATCTGTCATACTTCATGGGCCGATTTGTCCCTCTTTTCAAACTTGTAACTTGAAGCCAATCCTACTGTTATGTCTAACTGATTTCTATTGGTATTTGTTAAAGTATTTACATTTCACAGTTATCTGTCAACATTAGTATTATTTTTTTAACCAGTTATCCAAAGAAATGGGAATTACATATTTCACTAGCAATCCACATCTAGCAGATGAGCGAAGGTACACTGTAAACTATTAAATATTTTTTAAAATTGAATTTTAGATTTTCCCGTCGATTGATTGAACCGAGCACTTCGGTCCAATCTAAAAAAGATCTAAAATTCAATTAAATCAATATGACCCGTTGCACTCGTGGCCCAAGTGGTCTAGTGGATAACGCTTTGACGTTTGAAACTATGGGCACTGGGTTCGAGCCTCGGTGGGAACGTCATCATTCACTGAGAAATGCAGGTACATCCAGATGATGAGTCCCAAATAGGACGAAATGCGCATCCCGGACTGGATTCCACTGCTAGTCACCATCCACCAATTAAATACTTTTTAGATATCTTCCTAAAATAGAGATTTTATTTTATCCATCCAAGGATTTGACAGATAAACAGTTTTATTTTAGTGACCAGTAGTGAAACTTAGTGTCCCTCTTTCATGTCAATTTAATATTGTCAAACTCTCTTATAATCATTTTTCACGTAATAAATGGAAAACTACTTTTGTAATAGGTAAAGATGGTCTTAAAATAAAAGTATAGGTAAACCCAATCAAAATTTTATTGCAAACAGTGATTAGTTATTGTAGCTCAGCTTCAAGTCGGTAACTCATATTTAATCATCCTTCAGTTTCTTTCAAGTGTACTTATCTTTATGATTCATTCCTTAACTTTCCCAGTGGAACACAGAGCTTCAAGCTAAAGCTTTGAAGTTTCGGTAGCAGTGGTATTTATTTTTACGGAATGGGGTTGCTAGTCAAATGACCAACCTTCCCTCTTTACCAGTCTTATTACTAACTGGGCCAGGTAAAGGAGTGTATCGGCCGGGGATCGAACCCCGAACCACATGAGGCGTGGTTGGCGAGCATTCTACCTCTGCGCCACTGACGCACATTTATCTTTATGATGCGAGTGTACAATTAACTTACATTTGTTGTTTATCCATTGAATTATGCGTAGTTTCGTTTGTTTGCTGCAACTGTCTTATTTCATTGTCACCTTCTTGTTTACAGTAGTTTGTAACAGGAGAATCTATTGAAGATGATCGTAGTATGGAAAGAGCAGTTGTATCAGTCTCTCTATTTGACAACCAAACTGGACATTTATTATCTACAGATAGTGGTAAAAATCTATCAAGGTTATGAGTTTTATAATTATCACTAGTATTGTTTAGTAGGGTTGGGATTCCTGAATCACTTGTATTTATAGTGAAATTGGATAAATTAAGATTAGTTGTGAGGTGATATTGTTGGTGGTGATGCTGCCGTTGACTTCTCTGTTCCACTTCTTCCTCTTCTACGTCTTCCTCATCATCATTGTCTTCATCGTCACTGCTGTCATCATTTTCATCATTATCATCCTCGAATTTATCTGTACCATGATCATTCATAGAAAATTCTAGTTGTGATTGTGATGAATGGTCATGTATAAGCTTGCTATCAGATTGTTGCTTTTTAAAGTCATTCAGTGTATTTGACAAGAATGATGACTTCTTCCACTCATTATGGAACCACACAGCTTCTTTATTGATTTGCTCCTCACCTGTTATTCGTTTAGAAAATATAGAAACAGAAATAAAAGTTATGTGAACAGCGAACAGAAAAAAGTATTGTTGAAAAACTTTGTTATTTGCTGGTCATTTTGATATATTTTATGCTGAAGAATTGAGGCAGTCACTGAGTTTCCATCAGCAGAAACGTATCTACGACACAGCAACCTAAAGCCAATCAAGCCGTCAAGTATAGATTCATCGAATGAAAATCTGTGCCTAATTGTATGTAAGTTCTAGATGGATTCTGGCTGGAATTTGTAATCTTAACGCTATATATATTGGCCATCAGAGTGCTACTCAGTGACTGAATACTAGTGTTTTCATCAGGCAACCCGACTACTTGTGAAATGATGAAAATGCACTCACTGAATACCTTAGTTTGGGATGAAACAGTTTTTAAACACACCCTGGTTTTCGACAGTACCGTGAATGTTCTTAATTCACGATGAAGACTGCAGTTTTTCGCTCATAAAACAAATAATAGTTATTAGTATAAATCAGAAAGCTTGTAGTTGTTTGCCTCACTAATACACCCTAAACTCAAAATGCATATTTGAAAATATTCCCTGCTCAAAATGATACTATTCCGCTAACCTCCGATATTTTATATTTGGACATTTGATTGCCGCTACCTATGGACTGACTAATACTTTAAAATGTAAAATGACTTTCACTAGTAAACAATAAACATTTGTTACAGATAGCCTCTCTGATAAATTAATTAATTAATTAATGAGAATGTCTTGCTTTAGGTGAACAAAAGCCATTCAAATCTTCTATCAGAGTTTGTGATATCCACGCAGAAAGTGTCACCGAACTAATGTAGAATGATAGTCAGTGATAAAATCTGACTGTATTCAGTCTGTTTTGACAAACTGAAAACGTACTTGCGAATTCACCGTTTGTTGGTAGTTCGTTTTATTAAAAGTTACTCCCAAAGGCCATAACTTGTGGTTTTAATCAAACTGTGTGTAAAGAAAACTGACTATCGATAAAATCAAATGAAGATTGCAACATGCTTTTTAGTGATGAAAGTTAAAACACTGCCATAGTTAAATTTTGATCTAAGGAGTATGTTAATATATCCACCATGAAATCTCAGTCTTTGCTGCTTAACTCTAGATATTCTTGTAGGCAAACACTGTCAAAATACTTCCTGGTTTCTAATGAATCTGTACTCGGAATGCGCTTTCAGAAAATATTGTTTGAATTTGAATGAATTCTTAATAAACTGACAAACCGTTCGCTGACAGGACATTGTTCAAGTGATTGTTACAAATCTAAACAGCTATGGCCTAATTTAAAAAAAGTGAGGACTTTCTCTGTTTGCAAATTTTTTTGTTTCCTTCACGGTCCCCAGTGGGACATAGGGCTTCAAGCTAGTGCCTTGAAGTTTCTGTAGCATTGCTTATTTTACAGGATGGGGTTGCTAGCCTCATGCCCAACCTTTCCTCTTCACCAGCATTATTTCTGGCTTAGCGAGGTAAAGGAGCGCGTTGGCCGGGGATCGAACCCCGGACCATGTGCATGGTCGGCGAGCGTCCTAACCGCTATACCATCGACTCACTCTGTTTGCAAATAGTGCTTACAAAATTGATGGTAATCATAAAAATAACAGTGATATTTATCTTATAAAGTAAAACCATTCTGTCCAATATCTTTTCAATTAAAACTGGCAGCCTGTCTGAACTTTGGGCTACTGAAATACTCTTTTCTCTAAGAAACACATTGTTCTGAATTGCCTCTTTTGTTTTTATTTTAGCCAAAGATATCCTGAATTCACATTATTTTCAATCGTGAATTTTTGAAAATATACCAATCTATAACTTTTTGCATTCCAGATAAATTACATAGAAAATAGCTAAGCGTACAAGTATAAATCAGATGGCTGTCCCTGAATTAGCTGACACAATCTGCAGATCTTGTGATTACTTCTTTTGAGTGTATTGATAAAAGGAGTAAAACTGATCTATTATGAAAATTCTATCGTTTGAAATAAAGTGACAATTATTCCCACACTTATACTTACTTACCTAATTCATTGAGTGATTTCCCTAATAAGTCTATACTTTTAACTAGATAAAAAAACACAAGAATATTTAGACGCTCCAGTATATTTTGAATAGAATAAAGCTTGAGTCATAAATTGTTAGGATTTCGGTTAAGTGGCTGATTGTGGTAAGTGTCCCCCGAGTCCAGCCTCTCAGAGTCGTCAGCGTACACTTCCAGTAGGTTTTAAAATGGAATTGAACAGCTGCTAAATACTACTTGGTGTTTCATCTGTTGTCTGGCTTACATTAGATTCGTGACAAGGTTCATATCCAAAAGGATAGTTACTAATTATTTCACCTTCATTGATCAGTTATGGAAATGTAAAGAGTTGTGACAAATGATTTAATACTATTATTTGCCATACAAAGACACCATTCTTGATGGTGTCACATTCAGTTGGCATTTAGAAAGAATGAAAAAAACAGAAGTAAAATTCGGAGGTAAAATACGAGGAAAAAGGTCTGAAGAAAGCCAGGAAGCCATAATGTCTTTTTATAAAAATTTCGAAGAAATCAATAATTTCATGTATTTGTTTCACTGAAGCCAAATTTTCACAACTTTATTGCTAGCAAAGTTTCCGAATACTCCAATTTCAGTCATATTATTAGAAAGCTGTAGTCCAGTAGAAGTCGAATCACTCTAGTGTGTTGTTTAAACAAAGTATATGATTTAAATCCATATTTAGCTTGTATTATGTACCATGTATGCAACATAGGCTTATTACTCGATTCTCGGTATAATTAGGACATTTTTAGATTATAACGGGTGTAACATATCTTTGCCTTCCCAAAAAACACTTTGTATACTAATTAGCCACTAGGGTGTTGTCAATGTCACATTTTCACATTTTTACGTCTACAATTCAGTGTGTACCAGCAGAAGGAAAGACACGGAAACCAATGTATATTTTCAAGGGATCAAACAGCTAATTATATGTATACAGTTTATATTCTTTAACCAATCACTGGGTGTGTGATTTTGGTTTACATTAAACTACATGAAATAGAATGTTCAAATACAAATATTAATCTCGCGAAATTTGTCTTCTTAATGCCTTATTCAAATTTATCAAAGGGACTAATTGTTTTAAATATTAATCTGTTGCTAATGCACTATTGAACTGTGGAAATAGTATTCAGACATTAACACCAACAAATACAATGATTCTTACTGTGAGAATAATATTCCGTTGGAACCGATGGTCTGTATCACACCACCACCACAAGTGGAGATACTCCTGAGAGGATTCTATTCCAACATCTAACCAGAACAGTAAAGAAGACTTTCTACTTCACGCACCTGTTCTTATCCTTCAGTAGCCACTCAGTGTTCACCCAGAAGCTGAGAGACGTCTTAACTAACCTTAACTCTTCCTCATGAATATACCATTTCAGTTGTTCCTGTGGTTCAAGTTACGTGGGGCATACGATTAAGTAGGCTCATCTACGAATTTGAGAACATTTACCAGCCTGATTGAGCAAGGGGAAATCAAATGCATAAAAAATTCGATTTTATCTCATTTGGTTGATAGTGGACACCACATCGTCGCCAACACAGCCTCCAGGATTAGGTACTAAATTTTTAAGTCATTTTCAAGCACATATCGTTTAGATCTCCTACATATAGTTGAAGTTGTTGCAATAAGATCGACTAAACCGGGACTTTATATTCAAAAAGAACACGTTCAGTAGCTGTTCCTACCGTGGTCAAATATGGATTGAAATTTCCTCTTCTCTCCAAGAGTGCCTCTTCTCCTTGTCCCTTCTTTTTCTTTTACTTTGCTTATTATAATAATGATTATTATTACTATTCATTATAATTTATACGTTTCATTCTAGCATTCTTCCAGTACTATCGAATTTTCCATTTATACTATTCTGACTTGTCATTCCACATTTTGGTTATTTCATGATGAACTTCTCATTGCAGTTTTACTGTCCCCCCTTTAATGCATACTACTTTGTATTAGATACTCGCCTGACTTTAATTCAATTTTAGATTTTCCCGTGTATTGATTGGACCGAAGTGCTCGGTCTCAGGTTGACATTATCGACGGGAAAATATAAAATTGAATTAAATATTTAATATGACCTGTTGCACGAGAGGTGGCTCTCGTGGCTCAAGTGGTCTAGTGAACAATGCTTCGGCGTTTGAAACTATGGGCATGGGTTTGAGCCTCAGTGGGAACATCATCACTCAGTGACTGGGGAATGCAGGTACATCCAGGTGACGAGTCCCCAATAGGACGAAACTCGCATCCTGGATTCCACTGCTAGTCACCATCCACCAATTAACTCACCTGACTTGTTAATTTTCCTTTCCCACACTGTGCGAATCTGTTATGACTAATTACTACTATCGTCTCTCATTTCACATTACTTTGTAACTGAATTCAGCCCAGCAAGTTTATAACACAAATACTATTTATTTTGTCAACCTATAACTAATCTGTCAGTCTACGTAAAAATGTATCCACCGCAAAGAATATTCTTCGTTTGGACTGACTTTTAATATTGTCTGGATCTTAGTTCTAATCAAATTATTCCACTCAAGTCACCAAACGACAAGATTAGTCATCGAGATAGACTTGGAATAGATTTTAGGTAGTTGAATGCAAACAGAAGGAAGTCCTGGATGTAGGCTTCATGCTTACTAACACTTGTTAGCGAAATACGTCTACTTGTATAAGTGTTATGAATAATATTTTTGATCAATACTAATCCTCTAAAAGTTGAGAAGTGAAGTAAGTTAATCTAATTCATATGAGTGTATCACGTTCATAACTGATTTGAAAGGGCACAAAGAAATAAAAATAGTGATATCATCAGCTGTAGGAAGCTGTAAGACAAAGTGCTTAAGATTTAGATGAGTCTGAGTTACTCTTACTTATCACCTTCCATTTCTTCTGGATTTAGTAAATATTGATTTCAGTTCTTCT